GTATTTTTAGTGGAGACAGGGTTTCACTGTGTTAGCCAGGATGGTCTCGATCTCCTGACCTTGTGATCCGCCCGCCTCGGCCTCCCAAAGTGCTGGGATTATAGGCATGAGCCACCGTGCCCAGCCAAGGAAGCACTTTTAAAGCTAGAAGGTGCTGTGCAGAAAAGACTCTTACCTTTGCATCTAGCTCTTGAAGCAGGCTCTCCTTTCATGCCAGGTACCCTCCCCAAGCCTTGTGTGGCATCTGTTAGTGTGTATAAATCTGGACCGAAATGCCACATTTTTGTTTTATTTAGCTCCAGAACCAAGGACTGAAAGATTACTGCTTTGACTATAACCCACCCGATGAAAACCAGATCGTGGGACACCAGGTCATTCTGTACGTCTGTCATGGGATGGGCCATAATCAGGTAGGTATGAGCCTCAAGAGAGGAGAAAGCTGTGTGTTTTGTTAAAAAAATTAAATATTTGAATCTTTTTCTTGTAAAAATAATATTTGGGAAATATAAAAAGTAGAAGCCTGGGGTGAATGGCCAGACTCAGAGAGACCACTGTTAAAATTAAAATGTGTTTTCTTCCCATCATTTTTTATACATGACACATAGAGATTATGTGTTGTAAATAGTTGTCATAATGTCTGTATGTTTTATATTCCATCATTTCCATTCCCTTCATCATACTTTTCTTATGTTATTAGATATCCTTTGAGAATATCATTCCTAGTGGCCTCTTGATATTTCATTTTGTACCTGTATTGCTGTTTAGTTAACTGGTTCTCTGCCTCCCTGTCTTTGCAATTATAAATAACTCTGCCTCTAACACCTTGGGTCAGATAGAAGGAAGGATAAAGTAACAGATCTGTGTTTCAGATGATTTCCTTATAATTAATTGTTAAGTGGAACGATAGGTTTAATACATAGGGCCACCTTGCAAGGTGGTGTTTAGTGACATTGCCTGAACTGGGGGCCCAGGTGTATCTGTCTGGCGAAGGGCTGTACTTCAGGCTGGGCAGGGGAGGTTCAGTCCTGGGGGAGTCTGAAGACCAGAAAAGGACCCCCAGTGCTGGAAAGCAGTTGACAGGACCCTTGGAGGATGCAGGAATGGAGAGAAGTGTTGGTTATGGGCCTCTGAAGCTTTACCGTACTAAGGAGTTATCAGACACTAGGAAATGAAGGGATGGAGATGCAAATGTTTTTCCCCAATCTGGATTCACCCCAGTGCCACTTGAATGTGAAGCCTTCTTATGGTCAACAGTAAACTTTCTTAATTCCAACCCCTGCAACCTTAAATTACTTAGGTTTTCAACACTGTTTAGAACAGCCTTCCTCAAAGCTGATGGTACCTGAGTGCTACCATCAGCATCATCTGGGAGCTTGGAAATGCACCTTTTCAGACTGATCCCAACCCTTCCGAATCCCAGACTCTTGTTTTACGCAGCTTTTCAGGAGATAATGCTGTGAGCAGCCCTGCTCTGTGCACCTTAAGAACACCTACCTGTGTCAGAATTTTTGGAAGGGGCTGGTGGGGTAGGTGGGTGTCTTGTCAAAGATGCAGAACATGCAGCTTCCTAGGCCCCACCTCACACACAAGGAATCCTTATTCCGTCTCTGGGATGGGGCCAGCAATCAGCATTTTTAACAGGCACTGTAGGTAGTTCCTAGTACACTCAGGTAGGAAAACCGTTGTCTGGGAAGAACCAAGTTTCCCTGTTAGCGGTCACGTTACCTACTTGTGCACAACATTTTACATTTTCTAAGAACTGTCAAATTGGAGGTTTGGGAGGAGAGACTGAGGAAAAGGAGAGGAAGTAGCTAGTCAAGGTCACAGAGAGCCCTGAAGAGCTAGTGCTGGGATGGGTCCATTTCCCTTCCTCCCATCCCACACCAGCACAGCATTCAGCACTGCAGGCAGGGGGTGACATGCGCGAGCCCTGTCTCACTGTCTAGCAAGCCGGGCAGGCATGGGAAGGACCATTTCCTCCACACTCCTGTAGCACTGCAGTAGCGGTCCACTGAGGGCTGTGGGATGCGGAGGAACCCATCACACAGGCTCGTGTTGGTGGTGACGCGGATACATGACCCCAGCCACACTCTCGTGATCCCAGGTTCTTGTCCAGCGATCTTTCCTCTTCCCATGTCAGTGGAATGTGTTGTGTTACATGTTGGCTACCCCATTTTTAGTTTTTCGAGTACACGTCCCAGAAAGAAATACGCTATAACACCCACCAGCCAGAGGGCTGCATTGCTGTGGAAGCAGGAATGGATATCCTTATCATGCATCTCTGCGAAGAAACTGCCCCAGAGAATCAGAAGTTCATCTTGCAGGAGGTAGGTGAACTCTCTCCTTCCTTCCTGCTGACGGTCCCTGGGCTATAAGGGAGACTGTGAGAGTCAGACATTCTGTCTGGCATAGTCCTGGTGAGGATCAGGGATGTGGTCACGCATGGACAGGAGCTCTGCTCTGGAAGACCTGAAACCTCAGCCCCAGTGAGCCTGGGGCGTGGTAATGGCAGGAGATTGGAGTCCCCTGGCACGCGGTGTCATAAGCACTGCCTTCCTTCCTCATTGTCCAGTCCCTTTCAGTCTTTTCCATTTCCCTTGCACCCCCATGAGCTGCAGGCACCGGCTGGGAAACAGCTCTTACAAATGCATTCAGAGATGAAAGGGCTTTAAATGAGTGAGCCAAATAGCCCAAGGGTAAGGATGTTAGCCAAAGTGTTAGATCCAGATATAAGCCACCCCATCTCTCTAAGCCTTGTTTTTCCCGGGTCTAAAATAGGTACAATAGGCCAGGCACGGTGGCTCATGCCTGTAATCCCAGCACTTTGGGAGGCCAAGGCAGGTGGATCGTCTGAAGCCAGGAGTTCCAGACCAGCCTGGTCAACGTGGCAAAACCCCATCTCTATTAAAAAACAAAAACAAAAAATTAGCCAGGTGTGGTGGTACACCCGTATAGTCCCATCTACTTGGGAGGCTGAAGCAGGAGAATCACTTGAACCCGGAAGGCGGAGGTTGCAGTGAGCCGA